CTACTGCTGCTGCTGCTACCACCACCACCACCACCACTACTACTTCTACTACTACTACTACTACTGCTACTACTACTACTGCTGCTGCTGCTGCTGCCGCTACCACTACCACTACTCCTGCGACGACTACTACCACTGCGGCTGCTGCTACGACGACGACGAAGTCCGTCGACGACTTCCTCTAGTACTGCTGCACGCTACTGCCACTGCTACTGCTACTTCTGATACGGCGCTCCTGGTCTGCTAGGAGGAGGAGCACGGCGCATGCTTCCGCCTGCGTAGAACCGCTTCCGGGCTGAGTTAGACGTCGTTTCCTAGGACGGCCTCGAGGGCCTTGATGGTCTTGTGCTGCGGTATGCATACAGAAACTCATCTTGAATTTTTATGTATACATGCAGTGCATGCTCATGTAAAAATGCATGGATGACATCTGTGCTCCATGACTACATGTCGGGGATGTTTTAGGATCGACAGGCTCCTGTATTGCAACCACAAGCCACGAGTCTATGTCTAGCACGACACTCTTCTATTACTTTTTGTAGGTGCCTGAGACCGGGTATAGACTGGGCTTAGGGGTTTGTGAGCGGGGCTGGCAGGGAGGTCCATCTCCTCACCCCATACCTTGTACCAAAGCCTGCCATGACCTTACCTGCATGTGAGGGCCTTAATTCGTACACAGCGGGATCCAGAGTTCAGAGTACCGATCGCGCCTTTTGTGCAAGGACGGGGTTTGGGGTACCGGGCCTCCTCGTTCCGGAGGCCCAGCAAATTGCCTCTTAGCTCCTCCCAGGGCGTTTTGGGCCTAGGGGTTAGGGTGGGGCTGGGGCCCTGAACCGTAAACCCTAAATCCAAAAGAGACAGGGCGTTGCTGGCTTAGGATTTAAGGATATGGGACCAAAGCAGCAAGGACTTAATAAATATAACAGGGTTTGGGGCATATGATACTGTAAGTATGATGAGGAACCTAAGGAATAATCTTGTCGACTATGTAGGCCCCTATATTGTCCTTCCATGCTCTTCCTGCCTTTATCTCTCCTCATCAAGACCCAGAAGATCGGCGAGGCCATCGACGACTGCCTTGAAGTTAAAACAGAACAAACATGCAAGGTCTACTTAAGGTTTAGGGTTCAGTGTTTACGGTTTAAGGCAGAAGCCGAAACTGCCTCCGTTTCTTGACCAAGTCCTCTTGTTCGTTTTAGATTACACCACAACCTCTCTAATGCACAGGGGTCGGACTGGCAATATACCCTTGCAGTCCCGATGCAATTGTACGGAATTTCGTGCAACTTTAACTTCAAACCCGAGTCTAGCATTAAGGATCCTAGCAGGCCACTGCACGCAGCAGAGGTGTGCCCCTCCTCTACGAGGGTGATGTAATGTAAGGACCTTAATGATTAGAATTGTGTTGTTGGGCCCGTTTTTTCAATGGTTATAATCAGGAACCCCTAAAATAGTATCGGCAAAAATTTTGACCCCTATATAAGAGGTTTAGGGCTTCAGGTTCAGGATTCAAGGCTTGCTCTAGCGGAAATGCAAGTTTCGGAAGCGAGGGTGATGAGAGAGCTGACAACGAAAAATGCTGGCCACCAGATAAGAGTAAGTATATGTAAATTTAAATATGTATTGTATGTTAAGCGAAAAAAGCATGAAAGCTTACCTTCAAGACCGTTGCGTAAACCCCGACGCCTCCTACTGCAAACCTTTAAGCTTGGGCCCAGGCTACACAAGTCTCCTTGAGAGCCAGCGCCAACCTGAAATAGTGACTTTAGAGCCTACAGTCCCAACCCCCCGTAAAACCCTTGACTCTGCACCCTCACGTGCGAGTGCCCAGTAACTGCCAGAGGGCTCCGAAGTTGCCCAGTAACTCGCGAGGCACAGCCCCGATTTGAGGCGGCTCCAGCAAAGCTTCGTCGGCAAGGTGAGCGCTTGGTCCTGTGCTTTGTGTTACATTGAAACTCTGCTGCGCATCCGTCTGATCATACGACCAAGAGGCCTGTAGAAGCTGAAAATGTAGACAGTGAGACTCTCCGTGATGGAAACACTCGAGCAACACGACAAGGCCTGACTGCCAGAAGCACCAAGCGCTCAAACCCAACAACCCCAAAGCCGAAAGCATACAAACTAAAACCCGAAACCCCATAGTCCCCCAGCATTCAGCCCGAAACCCAGCTCCTGCAAACAGCAGTAGCCAAGGAAGCCAAGGCCCCACGCTGCCGCACATGGCGAGTCTGCTCTACAGCGTTACGGGCCTCTTTCTCGGGGCTCGCTGCCCTAGGGCCCATTTTGTTCTTCTACAGGGTTTAGGGTCTAGGGAGTAGGGAGCAGCAGTTGGGGGCTTGGAATCTAGCAGCCTAGCCAAGAAAAACCTGGGAGAGTACAGCCCCGCACCTGCCTATCCAGAATTGAAACGCACATGAGTGACTGTAGCACTGCGCCCATACCGGGCTGTGCAAAATCTACGGTGAATCAAGACCAGAGCACATGTCGCACCAGCTAAGGCGGTAGAACTTGAAGCAGCAAGCTGGCGAGACGGGAACGGACCTTCGCTCTGCACAGGAGCCTGATCAGTTAGAACGGGATGGCTCGGTGTAATATTGTAGCATAATTCTCCACGCGAATAATGTACTTACTCAGACCCCAAATTTAATCCTATCTTATGCTGTAATAGACGAATTCTAAGAATATCGGAACTACACAGGCATATGACTACTACTTGCTGAAGCTTCGACATTATGCTCGGGTCCCTGAGAGCCGGCCATGTGAAGACTGAAAAGAAAGAAGGAAAGCACTCGGTCTTCCCTGCAAAGAGTTCTAGAACATTTCTACAAATGTTCAGAAGGCTCCAAAACTCAGAGCCGTTAGGGTTTACGGTTTAGGGTTTAGGGCAGCATGGCACCCGAAACCATAAACCTGACCCCACCTGCGGCAAACCCCTCCTCCGCTTGGGCGCGTCCGAGGTCCTCGCTGGTGGCTTGCCGGGCCGCTGGAATCGCCACCCTGAGCTGCTCCGACCGAGGTTGGAGGATCATGAGACTTCGTAGGTAGGTTCTTTGCACCTGAACTGGTGTTCTAATTATACATATAAGTGAACAAGTGAAGTTGCCCGGCTGCGCTTCGAACGAAAGCTTCGGTCTCCTGAACCCCACTCACCGCACTGACCCACTCAACCCTCCTTTGCAGAAACTCTATACAACTGCAACAGAGATCTGAACGAACCCTTATAGAACCCCAATACGGAAACCTTATAATTGGAAAAAAGACATCTTTATTCAGACTTGCAAGACTTAGAGCCACTGTAGAACCCTCCACGGCACCCTTCTAGAGCTTCCTACTTCCTTTGGCAAGTGTAAGCCAGCGGCGCGCGCGGCTCGACGGCCTGAGCCAGGTTCAGGGCCAAAGTCAACGACATCAGGGCTTCAGGGTTTTGGGTTTAGGGTTTAGGGTTTAGGGGTTTAGGGTATAGGGGTTTAGTGCTATTAGATGTGAGGGCTTCGGGTTAGGGCTGGAGGCTTTAGGTTCAAACGTTTGGGGTTCGGGGCTACTGGTACTATACAATTTGGGTGTTTAGGTTCCAGGTTTTAGGGTTCAGGGTTTTGGTAGAAAGGGCTTGCAGGTTTTTGGGGATTGGCTGTGGCTTCTCGGGTCGGTGAGGTTCTGAAGAATATGCGAAACGCCATGTCTCCGCGATGCATCGGGCTTTAGGGTTTTAGGGCCCACGAGACTGGCTTCAGGCATGGGACGGATGATGGCATGAAACGCACGCGACGTTTATGCTTTCTTGGCTCGGACACACGACGGCCCACGATAAAAGCCAAAAGCAAATGGCCAAAGTGGAGCCTTAAAGTACGAGCTCCTTGGATTCATTCCTTCACCCTTCTGCTACATATCTTTTTATCGAGAATCCTTCTTCCATCGGGCTGTTTAGGCGTCAATCCATTCATCCATTCATGCATCCATCAATCAACCTAGCTAGCCAGCTAGCCAGTTAGCCAACTCACCCTCTGTCTCTCTCTCTCTCTCTCGCTCTCGCTCTCTCTTCGTCCCTCTCTCTCTCCCTACCCACCTTGGGTATCTCCTCGCGTGCCTGCGTACCTGACAGCCAGGCCAGGATAAGAACAGGCAATTTGTGGGCCCTTGAAATCCTCACGCGAAGGAGCCCTAATCCTAAGTCTTAGAGCTTACAAAGTGGGGTTGAGGGTATAAACAACCTATGACACACGCGATAAATTCTGAACTCCTGAACCGCAAACCTTAAGACCTGAAAAACATATCCAGAGTTCATTGAAAGATCCCTTAAAACCTTCTGCAGAGGTTCAGCGGACGGCCTAAATCAAGTGATATATATATATATATATATATAGATATGTACATACAAATATATTTATATACACACACCATAAAGTCCAATCACAGCGATGGCTAGCTAACGCAAGCCAATGAATGGATTCTTACATATTACTTACACATCGGTTTGTAAGTTCCTGTTGTAAGTGCTGAGCATAAAAGATGATCTCTTGCACAGTCAAACGGCTAAACCGAAGATTTCTAAGCAAGATTCGGGTGTGATGCAGTGCACATTCAATGACTTGGAACAATTTCGAGACCTATAAGGGACAACTCAAGTATCTGGACAGCACTTGTAGTTTTAAAATGATAGACATCTTAACTTTGAGATCTCGAGCCTACCATGGTTTCGGGTCTGCGGCTGCCGGGGCTTGAGGGAGCTAGAATTTCGGGTCTTGTCATGTCGGGCATCGAGAAGCTTCTCAGAACCATGAGAAGAAACTCTGAGATTCGGGCGTGCGCCGCCCCCGGAAACCTGCTAACGGGCAGCGTCGCTTTCCGGGCTGTGGGGTGTGCAGTTCGCGAATGTGGAGTGGAAGGATCTCGGCTTTTGGGCTTGGGGCTTGGGCTTTGTGGTTTGGAAGCAGCTTCTGGTTTGGAGTGCCCCAGGGTTGCATATGTGACATTCAGGACAAGGCCGTCAGATTTGGCATGAGATTTGCAATTGCGCACCCCGCAGCCCCTTTGAAACGATTTATACGGGTCACTCTCTCTATTGATGTAATGTAGGAGCCTTAATAATTAGAATAAGGTTGTGGGGCATATTCTACTATAATTATGGTGAGGTCCCTCTATTAACGTAGGCGGCATGACCCCGAATTTCTGCGCACTTCACTGTCCGCTGGTTTCGGGGGGCCTGTGAAAGTCCACGGAAAACTTGGAAAATCCAAGAGAAGTCACTTCCAGAAAGCACCTGTGTCCAGCTCCCAGAACTTGGCACCCAGCGGGCCCATAGCTTCTTTGAGCTTCTCTAGCTCGGCAGCAGGGCCCATGACAGACAAGTCCAATCCGCTTGGGCCGACTATGCCGACGGCTGCATCAAGAGCTTCCTTGACGTCGCCCAAGTGCGCGAGAACGCCTGCAGCACTTTTGTAGCCTTCGCGACAGAAAACCTTGTTCTCGTGCACGCAGAAGCCGTAGTAGATGCACTCGCTTGTTCCAGCCCTTGTGCCTTCGTAGAACTTGGGGAAGCCGGCTTTGAACTCGTCCATCTTGCCCTCTGGCACAGTGAAGTACGGCACGATGGTCACATGGGTGTCCTGTTCTGTGAGACCACCTCGAAACATGCTGCCGCTGTCCAGCTCCCAGAACTTGGCACCCAGCGGGCCCATAGCTTCTTTGAGCTTCTCTAGCTCGGCAGCAGGGCCCATAACAGACAAGTCCAATCCGCTTGGGCCGACTATGCCGACGGCGGCATCAAGAGCTTCCTTGACGTCGCCCAAGTGCGCGAGAACGCCTGCGGCACTTTTGTAGCCTTCGCGACAGAAAACCTTGTTCTCGTGGCCGCAGAAGCCGTAGTAGTGGCATTCACCTGTACCTGCTTTCGTGCCTGCATAGAATTTTGGGAATCCGGCTTTGAACTCGTCCAGCTTGCCCTCAGGCACCGTGAAGTACGGCACGACGGTCACATGCCTCAAGTTCGGCTGGCTATTGCAAAAACCGGCAACCGAACAGGGCTTCAGCGTAGATGCTGGTACTGTGCTACCGTCCTACTGTAAACCTCTTATAAAGCGCCCTTTGCAGCAGCGGGAGATACGACGAAAGAGCTTCCTAAAAAAACAGTAAGCTACTTTCCCTAAACCCTATACTAAAGCCATCTAAAGCCCTACCCTAAACCGTGACTCTGCCGCCATGATAGAGTGCAGCCCGGGCTTCCGTCCCGTAACGCCCTCGATCAGCCGGAGCAGAAGGGCAGGACAGGGCAGGGCAGGGCAGGGCAGGGCAGGGCAGGGCAGGCCAGGGCAGGCAGGGCAGGGCAGGGCAGGGCAGGGCAGGGCAGGGCAGGGCAGAACAGGGCAGGGCAGGGCAGGGCAGGGCAGGGCAGGGCAGGGCAGGGCAGGGCAGGGCAGGGCAAGGGCAGGGTCCGATGAGGAGTGCATTCACCCGACTCTCGGGAGGGAAGTATATGTCT